ACTTCCATTGAGGGTAAAAATTAGAGATTTAAGATTAGGTTTTTCTTTCTCATTATATCTTTCTTTGTTACTTCAAGGCTCTCCCCTCACAGATCTAGTGGAATGCATTACTTTGCGATAAGGGCAAACTTATCCAGAACAAAGATTTGCTCAGTTTTTAGTTTTAAAGTTAGAATTTTTAAGTCATAGCAGAGATAAAAGTCTGAAAGCCAACATTGTTTTAATTTAAAAGAACCTCGATTTTGTTAAAGTTTTTTGGGGGAAGAGTGAGGATTCGGTCTAAAAAGCTAGTTTTGAATACCAAGAACCAGTCTTGGCCTAAGGGGCTGGAGTGTGTTGCAGGAACCATGGAGTAGGTGATAATGTGAAATGGTGTAAGACTAGTCTGTCAGGCCCAAGAATAGAACAGTAGATTACAAGATAACTAGGACATTTGATCAGTTGCAGTGAATCTTTGACAAGAGCTCGGTACACTTTCCCTTCAACATATTTGTCACATATTCATCCATGATCCTGAGTGTAAGACGAGAAATCATTGTGAGCAGTGTCTAGACAGCTGGAGAAATGTGGCTACAGTGTCCCCCCTCCAGAGTGGCATGGGAAAAGCAAGGCTGAGTTCCTGAGCTGGAAGAGGGAGGAGGGAGGGGAGTTGCTGACAGAACCAGAAAAGGTCTTGCAGCGGATATGTGGGCACATCAGATGACCAAAGTGAGGCCATGGATATTTTCCACCAAACGTCTTTGACAGAGGCCAAAGCCCAAACCTTGAAATGGCTACGCTTCAATGAAAGACAGAGTGAGGCCTGAAGACTGCAAACCAGACTCACACTTCCATTCTCAACCCAACCCCCATGCCCAGGTCATAATATTGCACACGCATTCTACCCTAAGATAGAAAGGGAGGTGGGTGGGGCAAGTTTGAATTGCTTTAATGGTAAGCAAACTTCACCTTAATTAGGCAAGATTATTTTATTGTAAACCTTCCTGTGGAATTTGAAGCTTGACAATATTGTCAGGTTGAGTTATAGATAAAAGCAAATTACCCCTCTATACACAGGACTGCATGAGACTGTGTACTTTATGTTGGACAGGTATCCATCTGTGGAAACACTTGTTGAGCGATCTTAAGTTCTGGGCCATATACTAGAAACAGGGTGAGTGAGGTTAATAAGTGAGTGGACAGGCAATGTGGAAAGTGCTACAGGCAAGTCCCTGCATGGTGATAGGAAAGTTCAGATAAGGTGTGTCTAACTCTACAAGGATGTGACATGGGACAGTGGAAGGAGAAGAGGAGGAGGTCAGGGAACACATTATAAAGAAGGCAATATCTGAATCGACAATTTAAGGATGAGATGATGTTTGATGCTTGCTGGAGAAAGGTGATGCTGATGAGGAGAGTATTCTAGGCAAAGGAATGATGTACGCAAAAGCCAAAGCATGGCAACTTGAGGGAAAGCGCCACGCACAGGGTGTCACGGTGATGAAGGGGACAGGAAGGAATGAAGAGATGCTCATGAGGCAGCATAGACTAGGCATAGTGACGGACCGAACCTGTGGCATTTGGGAGACGTTGTCAGGGTGACTCCTGCATTCGGGCATTGAGGGCCTGAATGAGTGAGTGGCGCTGTTCACAAGACAAGGACAATGGGAGAAGTGGTTTCGGAATGAGCTCCATTCGTAGACTAGTCGTGTTGGAGAGTGTGAGGTTCTGCTGATGCACATGAGCTAACACATCTGGAGGCAGTCAGACACACTGACAGACACACTGAAGGCGACAGGCCTTCGCCGGGCTATAAATTAGACCTTTACCAGTGGGTGAGTAGCTGAAGCTTTGGGTGAAGATGAGCTTGCTCAGGAAGAATTTTTAAACAGACAATGATCCGAAGTGGAATCTTTAAAAAACAAAACCAAACAAACAAACAAGTTGAGGGGGCGGGCAGACCACGTTCAAAGAATGAGAGAGTAGCTTGAAAGGGAGGAGAAGCTGGGACCCAGGGGAAGCGTGAGGCCGACACAGAAGGGAGCAATCACGTGTGTCAACTGCAACACAGGGAACGAGTGGGTGATGACCAGTGTCTACTGGATTATCAGAAGGTGTCATGCCTGCAGGAAGAACAGTTTCAAAGAACTAGTGGGAGGGAAAGTCAGAAAGTGTGGGCTGAAGACCGCCTGGGAATGAGGAAGTGTAGACTGTTTCCAGAGCAGCATGGCTGGACCCCGAGAGAGGGGGTGACAGGCTATAAACAGCGAGGGGAGTCGCACAAAGCGCAGAGCTGACCAAACAAGTTAACAAGGAAACAGCAGGCGGAACTCACCACTCTGTGAAATCTGATTCTGCAGCAATGGCTGGCTTAGACACGTTTCTAAAGGAGTTAACTTTCAGAATATGGGCTTTTTCCATGATTATTCATTCACATTCTGTAATTATGGACGTTTTGTTGCAATATATTCATATGTGATTTTATTACTTAATGTCTACAAATACCCCATATCTTTAAAAATAGTGGGAAATAATGATGTATGAGTTCACCAACATCAAAATATATGATTCGAAAGCATTTTCCAAAGATTCAGTAAATTCCAAATTGCTGAGCTCTAACCATGTTCCATGTTATTTTTTGAAAACACACTAAATATAAGACGACTTATCCAAATCATCCTCTAAAATGTTAACAATTTTCTTAATTTTCATAGTGATTGAACAGATAGTTTTACAATCTCATGCTTCAGGTTGAGGAGGTTACATTGTCACATCTAGGGTTTTTTTTACTATAGTCTAAAATCCTATTAAAGTAAATGTTTTTAAGGTATATGATATNGGAGGTTACATTGTCACATCTAGGTTTTTTTTTTAACTATAGTCTAAAATCCTATTAAAGTAAATGTTTTTAAGGTATATGATATATTATATTAATAATAGTGATTATTTATCAAAGAAACCAACTTCCCTCAAACACAATCAAGATATAGGATTTAGCCCTGGCCGGTGTGGCTCAGTTGGTTGGAGTGTCATCCTGTACACCAAGACGTGGCGGGTTCGACTCCGGGTCAGGGCACATACCCAGGTTTTGGATTCAGTCCCCAGTAGGGGGCACATGCACGAGGCAGCTGATGTTTCTCTCTCACATTGATGTTTCTCTCTCTCCCTTTCTCTCTCTGAAATCAGTTAAAAAATATATAATATAGGATTTAGGTTATATCCATAACCTTAGTGTTGGCCAGCTGGCTTTAATTGGGAGACAGCTTTAGATGTTGTCCAGCCGATCTTTTTCGTACCTGGGTAATCAAACGTGAAGAAGCTGCACTAGCTTTCTTTTGTGCTGTCTAATGCAGAAAGTGGTCACAAAATAATTAACTCGAATTAAAATGTTATGGTAGAGAAAATTTTGGTTCCACACCTTCTTTGTTTACTCTGACACACCCAGAAAGTAAAGTCCTTAAGGTAACTCCAAGATCTTATCACCATTTAGTATCTTTTGGTGACATACCAACTGGTTAAAGGTTAGTTAACATAAACACAGATCATGTGGGTATTTGTTCCTATGTACTTAGGAATCAGCAGTGCTTGATTCCTACTGGGGTACCCCTTTTGGGGTGGAGGAAACTTCCTCAACAGAGAGATAATCAAGCTCAGGTATCTCTGCAACAAATTCATTCCAAATGTCTCTAACCAGGCATGAGAGCATGTGAAAACTTGGAAGTCATTAAGGATAATTAGCTATATAAAATAAAGATAATTTACTATTAAACAGATGAAGTTCCTTGAGCATTGTACTAGAAACTTTGTCCCTTTTTTATGAGCCTGGATTTGTGGGTCATACTCCCAAGGGCAGGCCTTATCTATGGGAAGAGAGCATATGTTACTAGAATGACTCTACCACGGCACCCAACTATTAGCCCATTGTGGAAACTCAATTGATACTTGTTCAACAAAATGAGTGATTTCATCAATCACTATTTTCAGTGAATTTTAAGCCAGATTAGACATATTTGATTCTGAATTCAGCAGATTCTGAAAATGTTGCATGACATTTTTTCATAGAGCCATACCATCCTATATACTACCAAGCTCACTCAGTGTAGTGGAAGGATGTGAACCAGGAGTAGGAAAACCCAGATCCTATCCCAGGTCACTGCTCAGCCTGTATCAATGCAAGCGACTTGCTCACACCTTCTCAGGCTGTTTTTCTTCTTGTGAAACTGGGATGAAAACTGCCATTTCCAGATGTGACTGTGTGTCAGATGAGCATGAATCATAGTCAGCTAAGGTTAAAAATGCCATTAGAAACCAGAGTCACGATGAAAAAATAAATCAGGAAGTTATGGCTCAAAGAGCTTAATGACTTGCTCAGGGTCAAAGAGTAGATAAGATGATACTTGATATTTGTACTTGTGCCTGTTCTTCTAATAACCCTAAGATAATTAAAGAGTGTGAAGTAGTATGGGGTGTGTGTGTGTGTGTGTGTGTGTAAGGGACATTGCCTAAAAGTCTTCAGGCAGGCTGCTTAGATATTCTATGTCTATTTAAAATTCTAGAACATTTGCTCTCAGGGGGAATCAATTTTCCNTAAAACTCTTCAGGCAGGCTGCTTAGATATTCTATGTCTATTTAAAATTCTAGAACATTTGCTCTCAGGGGGAATCAATTTTCCTCTCAAGCAATGTTTTCCTACACACAATCAGAGACAAAAATAATTAGAGGAAGCTCTGTTTGGAAAGAAGGGAAAATATATTAAAAATTATTCAATTTCTGTTCTATGGCAGGAAGGATTAAATCACTGTGCCATTCTAAACCTATCAAAGAAAATAAAAACTTTGAAGTCCCACTTTGTGTCCTTTAAATACTAGCCAATTACTCATATGATACGATTGCATCTCACATAAACATGACCTCTTTTCAGTGTGTAGAAAAAGTGATTATGTTTCACGACACGTACATGGGATTTGATCTGAAGGCAATTTACTTTCCTGTTGATGTCTAGATGTGCATACAAAACTTACAGTGCCAAGGTCAATGATGAAGCAGTCGCCCTTGTTGAAACTGTGCCAGCTCAGGGGAACTTCCGTGGCCCTGACCACTCTCCGACCCTTCAGGTGCAGGAGCCTCCGGGCGGTCAGGTCGTTGGTGAGGACGTGATTTAGCCCAGATGCCACACCTCCGGCCTGATCCGTGGGAGGAGACAGAGAACAAAGCAAAACAGTTGAGGCTTCAAACTAGACACAGCCTGTGGAAAACCACAGCTGTTCCTGCCAAGAGAAAACTGCCACCTCGCGCCTGTGAAAACTTAAATAGGAAAGAGAGAATTCCTTGGCAAATCAAGAGGTTTTTCAAAAAAGCTTTAGGCTCTAGCTTTCCTATTTCAACATTCAACTTAATATTGCAAATATTTACTGAGATCATTCAGTGTATAAAACCTGCTACATAAACAAAAAGCTGTAGCTCTTGGCCTTTGGGAACTAAGTATTTCTGAGTCATGGAGTGAGAAGGTAGACCGGATTTCAAGGGGAAAAGCAACAGGGGGTTGGAGGAGAGTCAGAGGTGACAAGTACAGATGAGAAGCACCCAGAAAATGAAGCTCCCCAAAGTGCCCGCCGCCACAGCGTCAGGAGAGAGAAGGGGAGTTAAGTGCTGACCAGGTATGGGCTGCTCCTGTTTATGGTCCTTGTTTTTACATTTTTAAAAAATTACCTGTCCTATGTTTTTTTTGTGTGTCTGTGTGTGGTTTTTTTGGTAAAAAGAGTATACTAAATATACCAGGCCGAGGTATTTATAGTCAACATGAGGAGAGATGAAATATCTTACTTGCACATCCCCAACCCAAAACCAAACAAAATAAAATATAACCACGTTTAATTAGGAAATGCTGCAGTGCTTGCTTCAGCAGCCCATATACTAAAACTGGAACCATAAGAGAAGATTCTCATGGCCCCTGCGCAAGGAAGACATGTAAGCTCGTGAAGTGTTTCATATTTTTAAGGCCTGGGCAGGGGTTGGGTGCAGGGTAGAAGGAGTCAGTGGGGGAAAAAAGGGGACATCTGTAATTCTTTCAACAATAAAGATAAATTTAAAAAAAATAAAGTTGCATTCAGAACAAAATCAGACTAAAACTAAAAAAAGAAAAAGAAATGTTGCAAATTTTTTTAACTATACCAAGTACATCTTCTTGTATTATTTGAAATCAGCTTTCAGCTTTTCATTTTTTTATAATTAAATGTTAGGCAAAATAATCTTTATTTTATTATTATACAAGTCATTATGAAGTAATGTGCATAATAAAGATTCATTATAAATAAATCTGTCATTTATTGATCAAAGGCCTCCTATGATAATATGGTATAAAAAATTAGCAGTATAAGAAACCTATAAAATAATCCAACTAAATAAATATGTTTTCATCATATATATACTGTTCTTGGTCATTTCCATTTTTTTCAATAAGTACATTGTGATATAATAAAAAAAATAGTATAAGAACACTGTAATCTGAAAAAAGTTATAAAATGTAGACTAGCTGAGGATACATATACAACATTTAGGCTAATTTTATATGGTGAACCATCAGAACGATATATAGTCTGTGAACATTTAACAGTATTTTAAAAAATAACTTTGTCTCTACTTTTTGATGCCAAAAATGCACAAAAGAAAAACTAAGTTTTACATATGTCTGTATCAGACAGTAAGCAGTTCTGTGAATATTGTTTGAATCAACCCCAGAAACTCCCTCTTTCTACCTATTCCACAGAATGAAAACAAGGTGGATGTTTTCATTCAACAAGGTCCTTTACATCTGCGGCCCCATAAGTACACTTTTCCCAGCTGACAGATGTCAGATGGGTGCTGTTTACAATCATGGCTGAGGGCTGGGTCTTCTTGGGAAAGGTGTGATTAACCGGAGATTTAACATGAGGGAGCAGTCTTAAGTAATAGTCCTCTATGACCCCTCCCAACCCCATAAAATGCCTCACAGAGGAAAAACCTCAAGTCAATGAAATGACATGAGAAGATTGTGTTAATGTTTCCTAGCTGAATATTGAGAGCATCCCAGTATAATGGTCCCTAGCTTGGCACTGGAATCAAACGGTCACCCACTCACATACTAGCTATTGGGCCTTGGCAAGTTACTGGTCTCTCTAAGCTTCCGTTTACTCATTTTAATAAGGTGATAATGATAGAAACTGCACCACGGGCTGTTTTCTAGATTAATATTCATGAAGTGCTTAGCACATTCCTATAAGCATGAAATTAAGTAAACATAATAGTCCTTGCTATTCTGGGTGGCAAATTATCTCTGCTTTTATATTTCCTATCAGGTATTGTTGCAACTGCAACACATCATCTGCTCACTGTCACTAAAGACAATGAACTGATCTTTTTTACTGATAAATTTGATCTCCACCTGCAAATAACCTCTTTCTGAAAAATGCTGATTCACAGTGGTTTTAATGTTGATAATTAGAATATAATTATCCAATAACTATAAAGTTACTTTTCTCATGTCCACTTTTAAATGTGTATCCAGAAGTTTGATTTCAGCAGTCCTGCCAATAGCCAGAAGGATTACTAATAACATAAGATCCTACTGATTGTGGATATCGGTATTTTATTGTTGAATTCAATCTTTAATCCTTACAACACTTATATGAGGAAGCTGTGGTTATACCTACTGCACATTTGAGAAAACTGAGCACAGAAAGCTTGACCTGAGGCAAACTGGTAATATGCGGCAGAAATGGGTTCATAACCAGTATGATTTTAGTAACTATAAGGCACAGCTTTTTCAAAATGCTGGGTTCACTCATATAAACGAGGTTTCAGGATCATTTGACATAAAATGTAGGAATTCATGTGAATTAAATAAAATGAGAGGCAAGAGTTTCATATTTAGGGTGGCTCATATCCTAGAATGGAAAAATGATTTCAAGAGAGAGAAGAGAACTTGTGTTTCGTCTTAATCTCAATGGCATCCTAAAATATTCAACTGAGTCTCTGATCAGGTAAGAGTAAAATAAACCCTGGCATTGTAGTAGGCAAATTTAGTATATATTCAGAATTTCCGTTTAGCTCTGAGGTATTAGGTCTTCACTAGTCTAATATGCTTCATGGGAGGAGTGGGATCTGCAGATCACCTATTGGAGCATGTCTGATTTTGAAAAGGATTGTTCCTAAAATATTTGTCTAGGGAAGGTATTCCTCGCCCTTTATCTGAACACTCCTGGGGCAGAGGGGATGATGAAGGGTGGCCAGTCTGCAAAGGTCACTGGGAGGTTTCCCCAAAAAAGCTATCCTTTACTGAAGGTGGCCTTACAAGGACAGAACTACTTAACACTTTCATTTTGTTTTTCTTTAATTTTGAAAAATAAAGCCATTTGATGACTAGTGTTTCAGGCCCATATGCATAAACTGTGTGTACATGTATGTATGTGCCAGTGTATGTGCATCTGAATTTGTGGGGCAGAACCACACGTGTTCAGTCAATGGTTTCATTTGTACCATTTCCAAGGTCAAATCACACATTATGGGAAATGTGTGTATAGTTCTTTGTATTAGCTGAAGTTATAATTATTACACACACCGTATTAAGATGTTCTAGAACAACTGAGATTCCCACGTCATGGGATATTTACAGCAAATTCAGAGATTCTTCAGAATATCAAAACCAAAAACTGTTGATACTCAATTTACCAATATTTAATTATTTAAGTAATTTCATTTCAATAATTCCTGAAACATAACTGAAAGCTCTTAACTTTATTAAGTATCAAGATATTAAGTGAAATCAAATCAGAATAGTTCACATATTGCCCTCTACGTTCCACAAACATTTATTGAGCACTTACTATGTGTCCAGCAATATATCAGTGAACAATACAGATTAAAACAAAAACCAAATATATAACTCTGTGCTCAATGTGCCCTCATTCTATGAAGACATGAGGTGCGAATAAATAAGAAGAGAAAGGGGGTCATAACAGAAACTGTTTGAGAGAGCTGCTTACCTTGTATTTCAGACCTCCTTTGAAATAGCCAACAAAATCAGTAGACTCATAGCCTTGAAGTTCTCTACTCTGCACTGGCTTGCCACCCAAGTAGTCATCCATCTGCACAGTAAAGATGGCAGCTGCTGTGCTTTCATCCTGAGAACACTCCTTTCCTGAAACAGCAAACGATGGAGCCTCACTTATCAAGCAAAGAAAAGAATGACGGCAGAGTTTCTGATATAAAAAGAACTCAGGAATTTTCGTGGAATTAAATATCAATACAACAAATCATCTTCAACAGAACAATCTTTTAGCAGAAATGGTGTAATATAAAATGTTATGTTGCTAGTAACTAAAATAATTTTGTTCCTGCATTCCAATTCTTTTTAAAATTAAAAAACAAAACACCACTGTCTAAATAAGCTGAGGAAAATATAACCATATAGCCTAGTAGGATTCAGATTCATCCGGCCAATAAGATCAGGCTATGAAAACATTTTGCAATTGTTTTTGCCTTTATTAGCATCAACCTTTAGGCATCCAATACGCTAATACGTCAATATTTGTAAGGAATATATACGTCATAGACCAGAGCTAACCAACTTCAGAAAAGAAGGTGGTTGTTAGAATGGGAAATGAACATAACTCGACCTTACCCTTACTTTTGAGTCCCTTTCTATAATATTCTCTGAAGGAAAAGGGAGAGCCAAGGAACTGGCATGCTAACACCTATTGAATGTTAATGTATGTATTACTATCCCCAGAACTGAACACCAAACACATTTAATTTCGCAATTGTAATACAGATCTCATCCAGGAACCTCAATGAGGTGAGAACACCAATTCTTAAGAACCAGCGTCTTCATGTACATGGAAACCAGAGCCAGGACTGTCCTGAGGGGAACTCAAATTTTCCAAAAGACACTTCAGAACCCTTACTACATCTGAGCTGTGTGAAAGTCATAAATGATTGTAGAAATAGGAATAGCTAACATTTATACATTTATAATACCTTGGCTATGGGCCACACACTGTGTGTTCGTGTTTAAATGGATGATCTCATTTCACCTCTAAGCAGCCCCATGCAGCAGAAACCATGTTCTACCATGTTACAGGAGTGGGATGGGAGGCGTAGAGATGCCAAGAACCTTCCCTGAGTTCGTAAATTTGCCCTTTGGTAGAACAACACGCAGAGCCAGTTTTCTGTGGCTCTGAAGCACAAGCTCTTAAAAACTACAATACTAGATTTTTTTTCATACTCAGACTCTCACCAGCAGTATAATTTTATGGTAATAGGCGTATGTCATTTTCCTTCATGAAAAATGGATGCATAAAAGTTTAGAAGCTGTAACAATATTACAGTTCACCTGAAACCCCAGTTGAGAATATTCACCAAAGTTGAAGAAAATCAGTCAGCTATTCTGAAGAAAGAATTGGATTTCTTTACAATTCTTCTCTCAAAGAGGGCCTGTGTAGCAAGTATCTTCTCAGTAAAAAAATCAGTAGCTAGAAGAGTATTTGACATAAATTTTGTGAACTTGTCATGGTCAAAGGAAATTATGTAACACACGAGAAATTTTGCAGTCCAAAGGGACTCCAGTGTCATTCTTAATCCCACTTTCCCTTCCATAAATGAGAATACTAATAAAGGTATAGATGTAGATTTGTACAGTGATGCTTTAACAGGAAAACTTAAATCAGGTTAATACCAAGCCTTTAAGGATGATGTATTTGACTTAAACATTCTCACTTGAGTACAAGTTGAAACCCGAGTCTCTTTAGGTAGATGTAAATGGACAGGCATGCAATTAATAATTAGACAGGAAGTTAAGTTAATTAAGTTATATTATCACTTGTTAATGTCATGTCCGGTGCTAGGCCAGGGAATATGGGTATGAATAAGCCAGAGTCCTTGCTCTACAGAGGTTGGAGGTCTTTAATGAAGCCAATAGCAGTTTTTCAATGTGAAAACCAGAATCAAGTTCAGTTGTATCATGATGAAATCCTCGCAAGTACTCAGAAACTTATGAACTGTTATGCTGTTTAGTGTTGTTATTTTATATCATGTTACCTTAATGTATATCTGCTGTAAACTTCCTAAAATTGTTTTGGGGGTGTGGCTTTATATGTAAAATAGATTAAAAGGGAGGTTTAATAACAAGGCTAATCAAACAACCACTCATGATAAAAAAAGAACTCTTGCCAATTTAGGAATACAGGGGGACATCCTCAACTTGATAAACAGCATCAAAAAGCATACTGCTAACATAATTCTTAGTGGTGAAAGACTGAATGCTTTCCCCTAAGACTGGGAACAAGAGAGGATGTCTACTCCCATTACGCAACATTATGCAAGAGGTTCTAACCACTGAGATAAGGTAGAAAGAGAAAATCATACAGAATGGAAAAGAAGAGATAAATGTTTCTACTTAGAAATGAGAGGACTATGTACATAGAAAATTCTAAGAAACCTACAAAATAAATAAATAAAAATATAAAACCTCCCAGAATAAGTGCATTCAGCAAGATAGCAAGATAAAAATTAATTTGTAACAAAAGGCAGCCATGAAACATGAAAAAATTGAAATTAAAAGCACCATGCCATTTACGATCACTCCAATAAAACTGAGCTGTATATTTAACAAAATAAGTACATGATATATATATATGCTAAAAATTACAAAATGGTGACGAAAAGAATCAAACACTTTCATAGATATAAAGACATAGTGTCATGTGTTGTAAGGCTCAATATAATAAAGATGTCAGTTTTTTCAAAATTGGTCTGTAGGCTTAATACTATTGCTAGCAAAATCACAGCAAGGTTTATTATAGATTATACAAGTTTATTATAAAATTTATATGAAAAGGCATAGGCCCTAGAATAGCTAAAAACAATCTTGACAAAGAAAACTAAGCTAGGCCCAGCCGGTGTGGCTCAGCGGTTGAGTGTCGACCTAGGATCCAGGAGATCGGGGTTCGATTCCCAGTCAGGGCACATGCCCGGGTTGCGGGCTCGATCCCCAGCAGGGGGCGTGCAGGAGGCAGCCGAGCAATGACTCTCTCCCATCCTTGACCTTTCTCTCTCCCTCCCTCTTCCTTTCTCTCTCTGAAATCAATAGAAATATATTTTTTTAAAAAAAGAAAAAGAAAACTAAACTAGGATAAATAAGTCTGATATTAATGTCCACTATACAGCTCCAGTAATTAAGACAGTGTGGTATTGGTTGAAAGATAGACACACAGATCAGTAGACATGTTTCCCCAATGGTAACATTTTGTGAAACTATAGCATGGTTTAGCATATCAGCACACTAAAGTGTAAGTACATAAGTATAGTGCAGCACAGAATACCACAATCAGGATTTGACAGGCACGTATCTATATTGCCCCCATTTTACTTGTACTCATTCGTGCGTTTGTACATTTAATTATATATAATTTTATCACATATGTATATCCACCATCATAGCCTAAATATTGAATAATTACATCACCAAAAAAATCTCTTGTGTTGCCTTTTTATAACTACAACCGCTTCCCTCTTGCATCACCCTGACCCCACCCCAACCTGAACCTCTCATAAGAATAAATCCAGCCCGGCCGGGCGTGGCTCAGCGGTTAAGCATCGACCTAGGATCCAGGCGACCAGGGTTCAATTCCCGGTCAGGGCACATGCCCGCGTTGAGGGCTCGATCAATGACTCTCTCATCATTGATGTTTCTCTCTCTCTCCCTCTCCTTTCCTCTCTGAAATCAATAAAGATATATTTAAAAAAAAAAAAAAAAAGAATAAATCCAGCCCAGCTGGGCGTGGCTCAGCGGTTGATCATCGACCTAGGATCCAGGAGATCGGGGTTTGATTCCCGGTCAGGGCACATGCC